GCTCTAGATGGACTTCGAGCTACCTAACCCTAAATAGACTTTTTTTAAATAAAAAATTAAAATAAAACCCCATAACATTTATTATAAATGAAACTAAAAATTATATTATTTTAAACATCATACATATTTAAGTACTATATTATCTTTTATAAATACTATAATGTGTTTTTAAATATAACACATGTCTAAATGGTATAAAATAATACTTGAATATTTAACATTAGAGAAACTAATAGAATGCGAGGAAGAGTGTTTATTATATTAATGTGTAAGATTTAAAAGAAAAAGGTTGAACAAAATAAAGATAAAATTTAGTGAGGTGAAAAAATCAATGTGTTATTTTGGAGTAAGAAAATATAATTGTTAACACACACACACACACACACACACACACACACACACACACACACACACACACACACACACACATATATGGGGCCTAACGGGCCAACCACGACCCATACCAGCTAGCCCTAATGGGTAGCAGATTTTTTAGGACGGAGTTAAAAAAGCCCTGAAAAATATGAGATCTAATTTTAAGGCCTAAGGCCTATGATTTTTCGGGCCTGACGGACCGACCCATATGGATTAGCCAATTTTGACAGCTCTTGATGCTAGTCATTCAAAGATCCTTACTTGGATCAATAATTTTGTTTCTAAGTCAATACATATGCAACTAGCAAAATATGATAATGCTAAGAAGTTTTGGAACCACTTAGGAAGTTTGTATAATCATTCTAATTTTGAAAAATGTTATTAGTTGGAAATTAGTATTATAGTTCTTAAACAAAATGATATGAGCATTCGAGAATTTTAGTCGGCTATGACTAATTTGTGGAATGAATGAACTCTAATAGAATCATATGAATTAAAAGTTGTCAAAACATACACTGACTGAAAAGAAGGGCAACATTTGGCTCAACTTTTGATTGGTCTTCGTGATGATTTCGAGGGCCTGCGTGAGGTATTCTACATCATAATCCTTTTCCCAATATTGATTCAATTTTTAATGAATTATTGACAGAAAAAATTAGACTCAAATTTCACCTTCATTCGCATTTGGAAAAAGAAATCCATAAACCTCTTCCATCCGTATTTGATGCTCCTTTTAACAAAGGAAAAACTTAATGAATGGTTGGTGTTGGTAAAAATGAATATGCTTTATGCAAGGAAATAGACACAAATATTTTTTTTAAGCCCATAATATCCAATGTTGCTACAACTAATCCTTAAGTTGTTACTCCTATATCAATTGGTTCTGGTACTAGTTCTACACACCCATTTGAGAATAGTTCAAATGTGTTTGATCTTCAAGAGTAGTTTAAAATTTTTATTGCAACTCTTCTGACATGCTATGTCTGCTCATTTGTTAAAGGTTTGACCCTCTATACCTTGTCAAGTATATCCTTTTCCAAATGGATTTTTTATTTGGGGATATCACATTATATGCCATATCATCATAAACAATTTATGTCCTTAAATCCAGTATTTTCCATTCTAATCTTGATTGATGATGACACTCATATGCCACTATCAGACATTGGTTCTATCTCCACAACTAACTTATCTTTATTTGATGTTTATTATATTTCTAACATCATTTGAGTCTTGCTTTTGTTAGTTAATTATGCGATTTTGGATATTCATTTGTGTGTTCCTCCATATCTTGTCATGTGCAGGATTCACAATCCCGAAAAAAGATCGAGACAAGTCGTAAACAGAGAGAACTTTATGTTTTGGATAAGTTGAGAGTTCCAAATATTGCAGTCTCAATGTCTATTTTGACTAAAAATTTATCACCTTTTCATTTAAACTTGTCTTATAGTAATTTTTATTTATGGCGTTCCCGCATTGGACATGTTTCTGCCTCTAGATTAAAGTACTCGACTTTTACTGGAGCTTTCGGAAAGTTACAAACTAGTGATATTTCTGATTGTGGTGGTTTCAAACTTGCTAAATTTTTTGCTTTGCCTTTTAATAAAAGTATTTTTGTTTATAACGCGTATATTGATTTAGTTCATTTCAATGTGTGGGGTCTATCATCTATTCTTATCAAAGGTGGATCTAGATATTATGTCTCTTTTATATTATGAAAAAAGTGTTCGAAATATTTTATGGCATTTATCATATGTTTCTGCAATGGTTATTAAGTGTTTTTTGTTTTGATCTAGGTGGTGAGTATACTTCTAATAAATTTTTTGAGTTGCTTGCTTATGATGGTACTATTCACCAGATTTCATGTACCGATACTTCTCAATAAAATGGCGTTGCTGAAAGAAAACATCTTCATATTATTGAAATTGCTCATTTTATTTTGTTGCATGCTTCAATTCCAAGTGAGTTTGGGGGTGAAACAATTCATACAACTATTCATGTCATTAATAAAACTCCATCATCTATCAATTTAGGTTTGTCTCTCTTTGAGCTTTGTATGGTTATGCTCCTGATTATTAATATTTAATTTTTTTTTTCAAATTGTTTTGTTCTTTTTCCACAAGTTGAATGTAGTAAATTGTATCTTCATCCAACAATATGTGTTTTTCTTGGTTATGAGGATGATTAAAAGGATTGTCATTGTTATAATCCTATTAATAAAAAACTGTATATTTCTTGCCATGTTGTGTTTCTTGAACACATACCATTTGATATCTTTTATGATTCGCATACTCCTACCAGGTTAGAGCTGGCTCATATTGACCTTTTTTCCTTTGATAATGACACTTTTAGTGATTGTAATGTTGAGAGTTGCAGGTCTAATACTATTGTTACTATAGATACCAATGTTCCCTCTGTTCTGATAACTATCCAACAACTTCTTGCAGTTGTTGATCATACTCCATCTATACCCCTCCTTCTCGTTATCCTTCTCGTGATCACAAGTTTACTCAATTGCATGCTTTTATTTATTCCACTTATTCCTTTTTTTTTTCTCCCTATTTTCCACCCTTCATTCATAATTTTTCCGAGCACTCATCTTATAAAGAATCTATTCATGATCATTTTTGGTAGCAGACTATGATAGAGGAACTTGCTGCTTTGCATAAGACAAATACACGAGACTTAATACCTCTTCCACTAGGAAAATATGCTATTGAGTCTCATTGGATATACAATATCAAAAGCAAGTCTGATGGGTCACTTGAGTGACACAAAGACCGACTTTTTGCTAAAGTATTCTTTCAATAATATGACATCGATTATGAAGAAAAATTTGCTCCAGTAGCCAAGATGACTACTATTCATACTCTTATTGTTGTTGTATGTGTTCACCAATGGAATATTTCTCAAATTGATGTTAAAAATACATTTAATAGTGATATTCATGAGAAAGTTTATATGGTACCTTCACCAAATATTTATCATAATCAGGGAGAGGTGTGTAAGTTGAAGAAATCCCTATATGGCTTGAAACAAGCTTTACGGGCTTGGTTTGAGAAGTTCTCCACTGCGATTACTCTCTTGAATTGCGCTATAGTGATTATGATTCAACTTTATTTCTAAGGACCAATTCTCATGCTCGTATTATACTATCTCTATATGTTGATGATACGATTATTACATGTGATGTGTTGATGTGGTTGATGAGTTCAATTTATAGTTAGCTAAAAAATTTGAGATGAAAGATTAAGGCACTCTTTGCTATTTTTTAGGGATCAAGGTTGCATACTCAGGTTGTCTTCTTTCTCAATCTCAATATATTGTTAACATTCTTGAAAAAACTCGCATTTTTTATACTATATTAGTAAATAACCTTTTTGAGCTCAATGTAAAATATTCTTCATCTGATGGTGTTCCTCTATCGGATCCCACTTTGTATCGTACTTTAGTTTGCAACTTTGTGTATCATACTATTACTAGACTAGACATTGCTTATGCATGGCATGTTGTCAATTAGCCAATATGAAAGATTTGTCTGTGATTTGTTTTTATAGGATTTCGGAAGAAAGAGCTTTGGAAGTTTATATCTATATTTTAATAGGTGAATTTTTATCTACCAAATACAAAAAGTTGGATAGAGTTAGAGTAAATTACTTTGAAAACAATAAAAGTATTCTATTTAATAAATAATTAAATGAGATAAAATTAAATACTAGATGTGATAGGGAGAATTTACACTACTCAACTTTTTGTAATGGGTAATGAAATTATCTCCATTTTAATATATATATATATATATATATATATATATATATATATATATATATATATATATATATATATATATATATATATATATATATATATATATATATATATAAAATTAATTAATTAATTAATTTAAAATATTGAACACATAGTAAAATATAGATACAATTCTCTTCCAAAATCCTACAAAAATTAACTCACAAATATTTCCTAATCTAATATTTTTGTTTATTTCCACATGAACTTTATTTATGGTTGATACAAACAAAACTATTGTGTTGAGTCAAATAACCCTAAACCATTGCAACATATCCCTAACTAGTATGCTAAATTATAGAAATGACTTTGATTCATATAAAACCAATGTGAGAATAGGATCTCTACAAGACTTGGAGTAGTTTTATTCTTCTAAGTTGTTTTCCTCACAAAAAAAACCTTTAGTGTTGTATATATTATTATATTCCTCAAAACTCAAAATAGATCACAGAAGCGTTGACATTCAATGAAGATCTCTAGTTTATCATTTTGGCCAGCAAACAAAGTAGAACTTAAGAATCAAAATTCAGAACCCAATAAACATAATACTTTTATGTCACTTGTCTGGATCCAGCCTTGTAGGTTAAGTTCAGTGTTATGCACTCAAATCAAATCTCCAAATATACAGCTAACATATTGCCATTAGTCAAATCAATTTTATTCCATTCTTTGAATTTTTAATACTTGACATTTAAGGGTTTGGACAAAACAATACTATTACTAACATGTTGCAAATCGAAGGTTTCTATATAAACCATAACATTTCATCTCCATAAACCACAAACATTGCAATTAATAAATTCTACTTTGCGATAATAATGGCTTTAGGTTCTTCATTTTGTTTACTATTAGTTACATGTATGATTATGATTGGTATAACTACTAATTCAGCTGCGGATTTATCAGATACATTCTACGATGAATCTTGTCCCAAAGCTCTTCGAACAATTAGGAAAACAGTGCAAGAGGCTGTTTCTAACGAGTCTCGCATGGGAGCTTCCTTGCTTCGACTGCATTTTCATGACTGCTTTGTTCTAGTAAATTCATTTCTCATCTTAGTTTTTATTAATTTCATGCACACGCACTTTCATGCATGCAGACTCGTGCGCGTGCATGGAATATACATATTGTTTTATTTATACATGTGCGCGGAGTAAAATCTAATTTTTTGTTGTAGGGTTGTGATGCATCGGTGTTGTTAGACGACACGGCGAATTTCACAGGCGAAAAGAAATCGTTTCCAAACGCGAACTCGTTAAGAGGTTTTGAGGTGATTGACAATATCAAATCTCAATTGGAGGAAATGTGTCCTAAAACTGTTTCTTGTGCTGATATCTTAACCCTAGCTGCTAGAGACGCTGTTGCTGCTGTAAGTACAGATTTAACTAGCACATTTATGTAATTTGATACTTTATAAGATCATTGATTCATATTTATATATGTATATATATAGCTTGGTGGACAAAGATGGAATGTACTATTAGGAAGAAGAGATTCAACAACAGCAAGCTTAGATTTATCAAATTCTGACTTACCTGGTCCTTCTTTGGATCTTGATGCCCTTATCACTGCTTTTGCCAAGAAAAATATGACTGCTGAAGAAATGGTTACTTTATCAGGTAATTGCGATTGGGAGGGGGTAGAGCCACTTGATACCAGAATTCACCTCTGAGCCATATTAGTCGGTTCAGTAGGCTAGATACTAATGTGAAAAAAAATTTATGCCCTTAATTAGTTTACATGCATGCAAAAATCGCGTTGAATAATTGAATGTGACTATATGCGTCAGTGTGGTGTAACATTTTTATGTTTTTGGTTAATCAGGTGGTCACACAATCGGAAAAGTGAGATGCCGATTTTTCAGATCAAGGATATACAATGAAACAAACATAGACCCTAATTTTGCTACAACAATGCAAGCATTGTGTCCATTTGAAGGAGGAGATGATGATTTATCTCCATTTGACTCAAGCACACCAGATAATTTCGACAATGCTTTCTACACTAACTTGGTCAACAAGAAAGGTCTAGTACACACTGATCAACAACTATTTGCTAATGCAACATCTTCCACAAGCTCTCAAGTAAGAACATATAGCAGAAACATGGGACGCTTCAAAAAAGATTTTGCAGATGCAATGTTTAAGATGACAATGCTTAGTCCACTTACTGGTAATGATGGTCAGATTAGGACTAATTGCAGATTTGTTAATTAATCACCATGCTAATTTGGTGTTTGTATTCTTTAAGTTAATAATAAGTTGAAGGCTTGATTTGTTAATGATCCAATATTAATGTAACTTGTTAATTACTAAAAAATATTATTTGTATTGAACATGTCAACAGTGGTAGATTCAATGATAGTTTGTTTAATTAATAGTAAATTATTATTTTAATTATTCTAGTGCATGTGAAAATTGGATCTCTCTTTGCATGTTTGAAATTTGATATGCGACTTTGCTTTATATTGCATGCACGTAGCCCAAAGTCTATTTGTTTAGACTTTAATAAAGTTTTATTGATGGCTATATAGAACATCGAAATCATCTATTGAATTTTATTTTATAAACATTCATTTGACTTATGAGACACTTGAAATGGGACAATACCCCATCCATATTTTAGAGTTAAATTTAAACACAAACCTGCATAGTCATAAAAGACGACATTACACATAAAATATTCACAAGCTATTAGGATACAATAAAACCAGAAGCAAAAACACCGAGTTATTATCCAGTCAACCAATCTCTTACGAATTTAATCAACGATAAAATAGAAAAGAGAATCCCCAGTTTTTTTCTAAATTCAATTACGGATAATTTCTTTAATTTGTATTTGTGCATTTTGTAACACCCTTTTTTACTCTAAAAATATAATGGCAAATCATTCACATTTATCAGAGTAATATTATAAACATAATAAAAATCACTTCAGAGGGCGTACATTCCTCAATAATTCAAATCAAAGTCAATGCTCCCTAAACAACGAATTTTCTTAAAATTACTCAAAAATTGCTCAAATGACAGCGGAACTCAAAAATGCCACTTGTTTTCAGGTGAAATTTACCTTGCTAGGGGACATACAAGCTGCTCAAATAAAGAGGCTGCCACTTGAAGTCGCACAAAAGGTTAATACATCGAACAAGCTTCTCAAAGAGATTTCCACTTGTTGCCATGCTGAGGATATGCAAGATTCTCAAATAAAGAGAACACCCCTTGCTATCAGGCGAAAGTTTCCAAGAAAGTGTTATCATATCACTGCTGGGGAAATTCAGATCTTTATCTTTTGCTGGAATTGTCGCGGTGAAATTTGGATACCAAACTATTGATTAGTTTGAATCTTTAATTCATTTTGCAACCTAACTTTGATTTGTCCAAAGGAAGGGATAAAGATCGAAATTCCCACGATGCAATGCAAATGCAAGCTAGAGAGTTTTAGGTTCGGGGGTTGGTTAAACTTAGGGAAGGTGCTAGCATCCTAAGTTTCTGTAGTACTCTACAGGAACCTCTTGTTTTATGTTTATTTATTGCTATGTGTTTATCTGCTTAAGGTATGAAAGACCTAGGGGTTTCTAAGTATACTCGATAAGATATCGCATCTTATGCCTACATATCCTTACGGGAGTGGAATCAGAGTATCTGTAGTTCCCCTAAAGGGTTTGAGGAGTTTTTTAACTGTGGTCAAAGTTTCTACGGGTTTAGGGTAGTTGATTGATTGATTTTAGGAGAAGAGATGTGTTATCATTTTAAGGGAGATTTAACCGCCATAAGTTGTAGGAAAATAATCTTTGCATCGTCTTAAGAGAAGGGCTCAAGTACTCGGATATGGATCGACGAGGTACGCCTCTATCTCTCTTAAGGCAAAGTTCCTACGGTATTGATTGTATTGATGTGGGGTGGAGATTCTATCTCGCTTAAGATGATTTGGCATCTTTCTCTAATGTGTTTGAATATTTTGTTTGAGTTGAATTGTTTATTCTATGTTGAAAGAACGATCCTTCCTATGGGGTAGGATCTGTCCTAAAAGATCAACTTGAATGGGATCAAGGATCGTAGGGGAGAATGATGCAAATGAGATGCATACACGCAAGTTTTACGTTACGTGCAAGTTCTTCCTTTAGACGAAATGCGATGTGATAAAGTAAATTACGGTAATGTTAAATCGCAGGAAATAAATTGCGAAAAATAAACCATACACAGACGCATGAAAGCGCTAAGGTGTAAGTGAAAATTGTGTATGTGAAGTGGGGCGCACGATTAGATTGTATTTTACGATGTTGATTGTTTTTAGTCGGGTTGATTAATTTCGAGAGATTATCCTTTAGTCGAATTGATTTATAAGAAAAATGGTTGAATTGATTTATGAGAAAATACATTATTGGTGAGTTTGTTTTTTAAGAGAAATTATATTGGATTTATTTTATTAGTTTTAGATAAAAGTGGTGTGAATTGGTTTTACCTTAGCAAAAATTAGATCAAAGTTGTGGATTAATTAAGTTGCTAATTATTAAGCTGTTTATTCTTAAGAGATCCTATTAAGCAAATAAAGTTATATTACACGGAAAAAGATTTTATTAAATTAAATAGTTAAAAAGTTTTTATTATTAATAAGTAAATATAAGCTATGGAAATTGTGAAAATGGTTTTTGCTATAAAGTTGTTTTTAATTAAGTCTTTTATAAAAGGTATTATTATTAAAAAAGTTTTAGTTATTAATAAAAATTAAGTGATTTAGAGAAAGGGTATTCTTTTATTAAATAAAAGTTTTGCTATCACCATTAAATAAAATTTATTAAATTTAAAAAAGGTTTTTATATAAAGTTATTAGAAGGGGATTCTTAATTATTATAAAAGGCTAAAGGTTGATTTTAAATAAAAAAGGAGTTATTTTAAAAGGTTTGTTGAGGTAAAACAATTTTAATTATTATTATAAAAAGTAAATTAGATTGAAAAGATTTTAAGACTATTATTATTTAATAATGTGAAAAAAGATCTTATAATAATATGTATAAAAAAGTGCTAGTGAAATACTAAATTAATTAAGTAAATTATTAGAGGCTAATTAAAAGATTATTAATTTAATTTAAAAAAGGTTAATTAAGGTTAATTAAGTTTAGAAGAATTAATTAATTAATCTTTAGACAGGTAATTAAACTAATTAAAAGTAGATTAACGGTTAATTGGTTGATTAGGGGAGGATTTAGAGTTAATGAGGTGATTAAGGGGATTTGGTGAAGGTGCACCGATAAAGGTTACGGTGGGCATACGCTGAGAGGCGTGCGATATAGATCCGTTGGAGATCTACGATTTGTGTGTGAGGGTGCATCATAACTATGGTGTGCGTGTGTGTAGACAATCATATAATTTAATAATTACAAAAAAAAAAACAGAAAAAAGAAACCCTAAGTCCCCTTTTTGTTTCTCTTCTTCCGCTGATTCTCCTCCTCCCCCTCCATCTTCGTCTTCGCTCTTCTCGCCTGTTTTTCTCGTCTTCTCGCATTCCCTCATCGACCTTTCTCTTTGTTCAACGTCTTCGTTTTTTTTTATCTCTCCCGCTTACATTTATTTGCCCTTTTCTGCATAAATTGAACAAGAACAGATAAACATTAAGGGTTAGTGAAGAATCTCACTGTTTGTTGGTGTTTGCAGGTGGTTTCAATGGGGTCGAAGATGAGAGCTTTCGGCGAGGCTTAAAAGATAAGTGTTTTCCTTTTCATTTTCTAGGGTTTTAAATTGGGGATTTTCTCTGGGTTTTGATTGCGGACTCTGTGGATATTGAATTTTTCTCTCGAAAATTGGGGATTTCTGGTGGCGAATTTGTTGTTGAACTCTTGTGTTTGATTTGGGGCTTCTGGGATTTTCTACGAATGCTGTGTGTTCTGTTGAATTTCAAGTTCTGATGTGAATCCCCCGATTCTTTGCAGGACCCTGCTTTATATGCATAAGCAAGTTAAAGCCTTTGATAATTCTGATTTTAAACTGTCTGATTGTGTCGGTAACATATTTGGAAGGAAAAATAGCTTTTAATAAACTGTGAACAAAATGCTGAATCCGTTTCCTTTTTCGCTCAAACATGTTTGGGAATTGTCCCATCACTGTTTTGGAAATATTTGAAAACTTCTAGAACCTATCTGATTTGGTTTATTGATATTGATTTGATGATTTATGATTGACTGTAGGTGGCGTTTTGGAAAGGACATGAGTTGTAATCTGAACGTGTTGATTGTTGGAAAATCTTGATGAGGTAAATGATTTGGTTCGTTCGATTGCCGACATTTCGCAAGGTATAATTCTCAAATCTTTATGAAGCTAAGGTGATTTGTTAAGTTATGTTTTGGGAACTCTCATGCTACTTGTTCATGTTGTAATGCAGGTTGCAGATACGTTCGAGTCATGTCATATAAGTTCGAACCAATAGAAATGTGCTTCCACACTTTGACTTCCAAATGCTGATTAATATTGCAAACACCAGACGCGAATCTTGTTTCTGAATCTTATTTGAGGAAGAGCTCACCGAATATGTTCTTGTTTTCTGACGGAATATTGCCGAAGCTGCTGGATTAAAAGAACAACGCCACCTTTGTCGTACTTGATGATTCGGCCCTGGTGTATAACCGGTTGAAACACCTTAAAAGAAATCATCAAATGCCTTTATTTGTCTGTGGCAGGTTCTGAATTTGCGGTAGAATCAGAGGAGCAGGGATGGAGAAGTGGATGAGAAATGGTGGCAAGTGAATACGGATGAGCTCACGTGAATACGGATAAACCGACGATTGATGTAGCAAGAGCTTTGCAGCCGGAACTTGGAGGCTCTCTGTATTTACATGGTAATGACTGCGCCTCTTACAAGTCTGATGGTTTTCCTTTTCTTTTAGATTAAATGATCATGTCTGCGGTTTAGTTTGCAGGCTATTGACAGCAGCCTAAACGGTGCAGTAATCACAAAATGCTGAATTCTGCAGGAGTTCTCCGGCAGTTGGTTTGTCACATACTCCTTTTCTCGCTCTAATCTTAGTGTGCTTTTCCGTCTGCTCAAATTATTTCAAATAATATCATTTGGTTTCTTCTTCGGAGACTCATTTCATAACGTCAATTTTTTTTTAAAATGCAGGTAGGCTGCCGGTGTTCTGCTGACGTAACTTTGTCTTATCAGCCTCGTGATCTGGTGTTTTATGCGGTAAGCACTTGTTAATAGCACAATCTTCTGTATTTTATCAGCCAAGCCTTTTGTCTTTTGATGTGATAAACACATTTTATTCTCATAGTGTACCAGATTGATGAGGCATGTGCTTTTATCAATACAGTCCACCGTTTGATGTGGCAAGTACCTCTTATCAGCATAGTGTGTCGGCATTGTTGGTAAAGACCATTGTTAAATTCTTCTTTGATTATGCATATCACTGCCAGGTGTTTTTTAGCGTTGGGAATGTCAGGTTTAGCGAAATTGTAGAACATTCACATGCGATAAGCTCATCCTTCTAGTTTTCTTTACGAAATCTCAACAGAAACTGACTTTGTTTTCCTTTTGTGTAAACATCGTGTAATTACGATATATCCTGTGATCATTATTCCAATTGCTTACTTATCAATAATGTCACGGTTTGATAAAGCTTGTTATGTGCAGGGCTAATACGCCTTTGGTGTCGAAATAGCGAGAAAGATATGAAGCAATGGTGCCAAAAGGGTCCAAACTACATGACGGCGGACTGACCAGAACGAATGCGTACAACAGAAACTTCTTGCATTCATAGTAATGAACAAAGGAGCGTGTAACTTGCGATTCAGTAATTTATACTTCCTGGATTTGATATTTGGATAAGCGTTCTTAATCCTTAACATCGCGTCCTTTCCGTTTCCTCTTTTATAACTTAGCAAGCCGTAGCTTTATTTGAAAATGGTTGTTATGATTCTGTTGAAAAGCTCCTTGAGAAAGAACCTGTACCGCTGTTAATACGTGCTTATGACGATAACTGTTTGAGAACTGTTTAGAAATGATGGTGTTCATTTGTGACAGGTTTGGTGCCCATCCGTTTCTTCCACAATTTGCCTTAGTGTGTCGGCTGCAGGTTGTACTTGCCTTTTCTTGTGGGGCTGTGATTTGATGAATATTTGTCATACAATTACAATTCCAATCTTTTATTGTCTCTGTTCCAATTTGATTTTCATTCTTGTGGGTAATCTATGCAGCATGTGGTAGGCCAGGGTCACACACATGTTTGATGAAGGGGTGCAAGATATGGTGCTGTCGAGGCTGAAGTCAAAATGAATGCCGTTGTTGCCAAAAACAGTCAAACTGCTGCCGTTACAGGATTTCCGAGTTGGGTGCTTTGATGAGGACTCGGTCGAGATGCTAGCGTCATGTTGTTACTCTGGCGTGAAGAATCCACTGGTTATGATGAAGGACCTGCGGCTGCACTCATATAGCTACATTAAAGAGACCGCCATCATTTGTTGATCAAGTCCCATGAAGGGGTGTTGTATTAATGTCCCTGATTGTTTGTAGGTGGGGCAAACTTGGAAAATGTAACGAGTCATCGCAAGAGTTATGGCATGATATTAAGAAGTCTCTTTCTGTCCATCATCAATCTGTTGACATACGCAGATGGGCTGCTGGTGTTGTAGGAAATTTCTTGTATTGATTTAATATGTAATAATGTTACTTATCCAACTCTTTTAAGCAGATGACTCACCGCATACTTCTGTATAATAGTCATTTAAATGAACATGTGGAAAGTTTTCTAGCCAATGATTAATCTTTGGATAATGTCCACTCATGCTACATTATCTTTCTTTTCCTAGTGGACTTCTTGAATTAAGAACCGTACGTAATGAATCGTTGTGTACGTAACGTGGCATGTTGACGCCTCCTGGCTTTAGGAGGCTTGAAATTAAAGCTCTCCAAATGTAATGTTAATACCCATTGTAGTTACAAACCTTCTTGTGTTATTTAAGATCTTTGACGGAACCACACGGTGAATCCTCCGACTTGCCAGAATTTGGAAATGACTTTAAATAAAGTTTGAATTAATTAACTCTGAAATTAGTTTGAATTGGCACCCTCAAGAGATAAGTCCTAAGTCTTAAACCTTCACAATGTTGCAACTTGGGAAGTTGGATTGAATCTTGAGTAATAAAAAATTCAAAATGATGGAATAATGACAAATTCCCACGATTCTTGCAACGAGAACGATATGATATTATATGGTATTATGAGGTACTTTGTATTGGAATGTGAAGAGACTCCAAACTTGTGTTTAGACTTGTAATGCAACTTGGACCCCATGACCGCGGAGCCATTAACTTCTAGAGAATAATGTGCTTAAGATCAACGTACCTGCATACACTTGTTAGCCATAATAAATATGCATACAAGAGTAAAAGATAAGAGAGCACCAAAGAAAGAAAAAAAAGGAGGTGGAATCTTAAGGTTAAAAATTAGGGTGCGACAGGAATTCACAAACAGACTTTGTTGAGGAAAAGATAAATCTTCCAAAGGAAAAATAAATACCTTCTCATTATCCAGGTTTCACAGCCTAGAGAGATTCAAGATAACCATTGCAAGAGACCCAAGTTCAATCTAGGAATAAACTGAAGAGAAACAGCCAAATAAGACTCGACCTAACAAGGAAATAACTCAACTAGGGAGTAACTAAAACAAACATCTTTCACGAGGCACAAACTTAGTGGGGAATTAGAAAGGATAAACACTTTATGTTTAAGGTCGACACTCTAATTGAGAGATGACACACACACTTCGTGGGATAACAACATCAGAGAGTGGAGAAACATCAACAAAAATGCAACATGCGGAAATGCAACAACAAAATGCCATGCATAACGAATGAATAGGCATGTAATGCATATGAATATGGATATGCTGACAAAACAGACAAGAGGAAACTGGGGATGATCAATCACCACAGTACACTTGGATACTCGGTTAATCTTAACAAGATGGAGATATCGCTGGAAACTCTGCTAGGAACTTAGCTGAAGGAATCTTCCAAGAGATAAACAAAAGTCATCAAAGAAAAATAAATCCTATTACAATGCTCAAATTTTGCTGAGAAGATGGAGATATTGCTTGGGGAAAAACACAAGGATCATTATTCTAGTATCAATAATCCATAAAGGGGGAATAAAAACATGAACGCTGCTTCTGAGAATGGAAGAAAAACCAATGGGGAAGGAAAACATCCAAAAACTTCTTGACTAATCTTGGGGATAAGAAAAAAATTCATATGAAATCCATCAGTTATGAAGAATGATGGATCCACTGGAGATTGCGATCGTGTAAATAGCTACACTAACTCCACTGGGGGAATATTGCAGGTCTGTTGGAGATACGAGAAACACGAAATTCTCCGGGGATGCAAGTATGAGAGAAACATTTTGAACTTGCACGGGGGAAAACAAGAAGTTATCATCATAACGAAAGTCAAGTTGTGGGGGATTTTAAATCAATACCCAATACAGGTGAGAGAAAACTCGACATGTGACTTCTATATCAATACTCTTCATAAGGTAACAACATTGCTCTTTGCTTGTGGAAACATCCACAGTAATGATGCACGACTTCTGCTGGAAATCAACAAAGATACATCTCTGCGTGGTGGTTAATACGGAGAAGTGGAAGACCAAAATCACTCCATTGTATGATCACGCCGATGTTGGGGAGAAGAAACTTAATCCGCTTGGGAAAGGCCTGATTAAGACTTAGTTGAGGAAAATCCAATTGATACCCATATGGAGGAAACCTGCACTGGGATTTGTTTGGGTCATATTGGATTTCATAAGTTCATAGTATTATAACAAGTCTCAAGGAAAACTACTGTCAACCAAAGATGGCAACAAGTTACGAATTATGCTGATGCATTATCAACAGACTCTACTGGGGAAAGGAAGAACAAATTCTGGAAGCTTCACTAAGGGAAACACCAAGTTTTACATTTCGTAATCTTACCGTTCTTGGAATAACCTTTGACATTCCTTTTTGTATTCATAAATTAAAGAAAAATGTCTTTATAATTTTCAAAATTTTAATCAATTATTCACATTTTGTTTCAAAAATCATCATAAAAAATAAATGAAGTTCTGTAAATAGAAAGAAAATAAGAATTGCAACCAAAGGGACGAAGACCCAAATTTTATTGATAGAATGGTAGTCCGCCAATGACGTGACTCCATGGATCATTACAAAGTTTGAAAATTGGTAAATACATGGACAAGGTTACATTGAAATACAATGTTCATTATTCCCCCCAACAACTTTGAATTCTATTATGCTCAAAACATCCGTCGAGAATGATTGAATGAGAATCGTTGATAGACAATGTTGCATCAAGTGATCATGACTGACCAGATGCAGTTACTTGCCATAATCCTTAACTTTTGCCTAGGTCAAGAGATTCCAATTGGTGTAAGATACTTTATAAAGCACCCTTTTTAAAGATAAGAATATCAAAATGTTCTTGGAATTTGATATCTAGTGTATCCTATTGACTCCGAAGAATTTACTCTTTTCTCGCCAAACTCTCCATCCATTTGGTCAGCTCTTTTGCACTATTTCGGATAACAAGAGATACGACATCCGCTTCGAGCCCACTTCGATAGGTATTATCTTCCACCTTCTTAAATCGGCCTTCAAGATCACCTACATGCCCAAATAATTCAACCTGGGACCCATGGATACGCCTATCTTCAGTCATGATGGACCCACGGTCCATGCAAATCCGCATTTATAGGGAATCTTTCTCAAAGCCCACATTATTTACCCCAATAAGGTTACAACGAGTCTTTAACGACTCTACCTCCTAGTGCAGAACGAAAGGCACTAGAAATTCTTGAGGATCAACAACTAAATGATTCAGGAGTGGTACCGCCCTCATCACACCAACAACTATCTCCTTTACCAAATCACGTCGACCGGAAGAAGATACTTGGTCAACAAAAGCATAGTCCCCGATAGATATGAGGTTGTTTACCCCCCCTCCCCTCAGGTTATTGAGAAGCAAAATCAGCCAGTAGAGAGCATAAGCAAAAAAGAAGTACCTTTTGAACCCCTGACGATATCAGTCATAGAGTCAACCTTCACCTGTTTCTTCTTCTTTAACCGATCTTTGTTGGGAGCAACAAAACCGGTCTTGCATGCTTCTTTTTAGGCCAATCCTCAGAAAGGGTCGGAACAAGCAGAGTAATCTTGATATTTAACGTAATACTTGTCATGGAGATCAAATTCTTATTGTACTTATCTGAAAAGGCAAAGAAAAGCAAAATGATGAGGACTAAAACAGATCCACATACTCACAAAGGAGAAGAAATAAAACATCTTACCAAACACCTTTTTCCTCCCCTCTGCAGAATCAACTTTCGCCACCCCATTGCAAAAAATATTAGATCTTCAAAAAAAGAAAACATTAAATGCGTATTCTTTCATTGTTCCAATGGTGTACGTTAAACGTTTCACTCCTCGAAGCGATCAAAGCCAAAATATTGTCGACCACGCTTACTAAAGACTTCCCGATTTCCAAGACTCCCCAACAAGTCTTAGGGGCAACCGTTTTAAGCCGACTATATCTCTCCATCCGACCACCTTGAGATGAAAATGCTCAGGGTCATAATGTATCGACCAAATGCTAATTCACATTTCTAGAACATTCTCCTAACTATGAGACTATCATACACCCAAGTATATGAGATTCACGCCTCAAGCACATCCAACAGTCCTCCACATTTCATGCCTAAAAGATAAAAGATAGTGAGACAATTATTTCTTTTCTTTATATACAGAGAATGATATCATTTCAACTGACAAGTTTCAAACACAATTTAAATACTCTATATTCTTTCACATACTGATTTAGGCGTTAAAGTGTTAAGCTTCGTTGCAATGGAAGTTCTACTCTACCAGAAGTTCCAAATCACACTTTATTTCCACTTTCCAAACATAACACCAATAATGATGATGGGGTAACAAAGTGAAAGAGTGATGGAGAGACTAAAGGATAGAAATGAATTTTGTGAAAGGAGAAAAAACCCAGCTACCACGTGTCATGTTTGAATTAAATGAGAAGCGTAAATATTTAGGACATTTGTCATTTCCATATTTATCATTTTTATTCTGTAAATATTTCAATTCGTTAAGGCGTTGTTGGAACTTTGATTGCATGTTCTAATAATTGATATAGTCGGCTTAAAACTAAAATCAAAAGTCTTAATATATTGAATGCTAAGCCGTAAAACTCCGAAAGGTGAAATAGTAGGTAGGAGATTCGATTGGGTGTACGTGTACCCGCCATTCACCACTTCCAATTCTTGTTCATTCACCTACCTACCACCCACCACCTCCATTTCTATATATCATCACAATTCACAACACAACAGCCTGCATTGCAATTATCTTATCATTATTTTCTACAATGACAACACCTTCGGTAACCGCTTTACAGATCGAGGACTACCAATTCCCTCCCACTGTCAAACCACCGGGATCCGACAACAGCTTCTTCCTCGCCGGTGCAGGAGAGAGGGGTCTCCAAATCCAAGACAAATTCGTCAAGTTCACCGCTATTGCTGTTTATTTGCAGGGTATCGCTGTTCCCTTCCTCGCCGAGAAATGGAAGGGGAAGGATGTTCATGAGTTGATGGAAACTGTTCCCTTTTTCAGGGACATCGTTACAGGTACTGAGATGTTTGGATTGATTTAGGGTTTAGGGTTTATAAGGTGTTTTTAGCTTATTTTTATAATAGCTTGTAAGAAAATGTTTATTATTTATATGACTTTTTTATATATAGAAAGAGCTTATTTATAAGCATTTAGTTAAGTTGATTATTGATCTGACTGAATAGCTGAAAATGATTCATCTTCATTCAGCCTGTTAAGCCAGAGGAAGCTCCCTTTTGTGGTGATAGAAATTATGTAAATTTTAGTTATAGGAAACTAATTTGAGAAGCTTCACAAGAACAAGAAGCTAACATTAGGCTTAGTCTATGTTTGGTTCTATGTTTACAGCATGAAACTTTGATTTTGGACAAGGAAAATTGATTTTAACATGTTTTGCTTTTGGATAGAATTGATTCTAACTTGAAGCTAGGTCGTGTGTGCTTGGCTATATGGTGAAAAATTGATTTTTAATGAATTGATTTTGTGAAATTAATTTGAGCTAAAAGTGAATTGAATGGAAAGTGGTTTATGTTTGGGTAAATTTTTGTAAAAGTGAGTTGAATAGGAAATTTCAGTGTAAAATAATGTTTAGACTCAAAAGTTACAAATCTTATCTTCAAGTAGAATCAATTATGAAAAACATAATCAATTCTACTAGAGAGCAACCAACAAAATATGTCAAACTCAATTCTACACATCCGGAATCAATTATGGATGCTCCAAACTTGAAACCAAATATATACTTATAGTTAATGTGATTGTTACACTAAAAATTATTGTTCAACTCAATCTTAGTTGGAATCAAATCACTCAAAATCAAACACACCCTTCAACAAGAAGGGTTGCATTTTCATCCCTGAACATAAATATCATCTCTTATTAGATGCAATATTAGTCACACACACTAGTTCATATGATCAATATTGTATCTATTATCTCTCTTTAACCAAAGATAACTTATAATTTGAGAGTCTTTTCATGAAATCGTCATGATGTTGCTTGCGCTAAACGATTGAGCTAAAGGAAGTTGTTAGTTTCATCGAGTTTCGCAAAAACCTCTCATGTCTCTTTTCAAAAACAAGTTTTACTAATTTAGATGAACTGATGTTAAATTAGTTATCCTTGGTTTGTTGTGTGCTAACTGCTAAGTTATACTTTGGAACTGTCTTTGCAGTATCTATGGCAAACTAAGAAAGTCTTATTTGTTTCAGGTCCATTTGAGAAATTTATGCAGGTGACAATGATCTTGCCGTTGACGGGGCAACAATACTCCGAGAAAGTTTCAGAAAATTGTGTAGCAATTTGGAAGTCTCTTGGAATATACACGGAAGAAGAAGGCAAAGCAATAGAGAAATTTGTTTCTATTTTCAAAGATGAAACATTCCCACCTGGCTCCTCTATTCTCTTCACAGTATCACCCAAAGGATCTGGATCATTATCGGTTAGTAAGGAAATCTCGAGTCTAATTTATTACATCTTCTGCATAATTTCTTATTGTTTTTTAATTATAAACAGATAAGTTTCTCTAAAGATGGATCCATTCCAGAAGTTGAGTCTGCACTTATAGAGAATAAACTACTTTCACAAGCCGTGCTTGAGTCGATGATAGGCGAACATGGCGTTTCCCCTGCAGCAAAACAGAGTTTGGCTTCCAGATTATCTGAGTTATTCAAAGAAGCTGGCAATGCTAATAACTGATTATATCACCTCACCAAACAGAAGATGAAAGTCTGTTCTGCAATAAAGACCAAGCGCAAATTTTATCTTGAAGACTTTTTTAGTGTACTAATAAAGATTGTATTGTATTTGTTTCAAGTTGAAATATTAAAATAATTTGACAGAATACACGACGGTGAGTGGTTTCAGGGTAAAATAGTGCTTATCATATTTTCTCTCAAGAAAAAGTCGGGTAAGAAATGCAACATTTTATCATTTTATTAAACCATTCAATTCAAATCATAAGGTACAAATCCACAAAATAAAATTCAATTCAAAGCATAAGGTACAAATCCACAAAATAGAGACTGAGACGATTTATTTAAAAAGAAAATAACATTGAACCTATGACATATTGATGTCATTGGATTATTGAAAGATTATGAACTTTGTCTTAAAGTTCATAGACAACTGCTATAAATTTTCAGTTTCCAATTTTGAAGTTGTCATTCTTCATTAACTCATACAATCTTGTAGCCAAACTCTCTTTCAACGCAGGCGAAACTGGAATTTCGCCGATCATGGTCTCCAACACTGCCTCCGAAACCGGCTTATTGTGAATAACTGTATGCTCATGTTCAGGTATTGTCTCATCTTTGGAGAAACTAAGCTGTGATCAATAAAGTTATTAAAATGTGTTGATTGAAAGAATTATAAGTAATAAGTACTTATTATACTAACCGCTAATGTTCCATTTGGTGATTGTCTGTAAAAAGCAGCGGATCCTGGTGGAAAATTTTGATCTTTGAAAGCTTCTCTTAATTCTTGAATGGCTTTTTCTTCTTCATCACCATATAATCCATCAGATTTTATATGGGCTATGCAATTTTCTGACACTTTTCTCACATATTCAGGACCTGATAGTGTTCTCACCTTTATACTTCGAATCAGTTTCTCAAAGGGACCTAATTGAACAAACTCATAATAATTAAGTCAGTACAGAAAATTATTATGTTCATTTATACAAATACTAACTACAAGTCACTAGTTTATGTCAAAAAAGAGTGTATGTATGATTTCACGTTCATCTGAAATTGAAATTGATTTTGACATGTTAGTTGTTCTCTAATAGAATTAGCACTTGTTTGTTTATTCTTAAAAATATATATTTTTTATTTTTAAATGTGGATTTTACAAAACCGTTTTTCAAATATTATGTTTTTTAATTTTTTTTTAAATTAAAAAATTATTTTTAATACTATATAAAATAAACATATATTATAGAATACAGTCACTTTTTTTTAAGTAGTATCTCATAAATGAATTTTATAAAAAGTTTTAAAATGGCTTCAAAATTAGTAAATTTTTTTTTAAAAATTATGATATTAAAAAAATTCACTAAAATGATGGAATAACTAAAATAAAATTTTAAGAATAACTATTCAAACAAAATTTTTATGAAAAAAAATTTGTAAATTTTTTTACACAAATTTTGTTATATTATAAAAGTCATTTAAAAAAACTAAAACAAGTGATACTTAATTAAGTTTGGTAAAATTGATTTTATTTGTACTTAAAATTTATAATTTTTTAGTTTAAAAATAAAGTTTACACTGAATTTTTCTTTTTCATTCACTCTTATAAAAATTTAATTAAACATAAATTATTTTACCTTTAACTCAATTTTAAAAAATCAATTCAATTAAAATTAATTTCCTTAACAGCATAACCAAATACATACTCAACAGTTTGAATTCCATAATCTTTTGTATAATATATTGTCAAGACTTTCAATCCTCAAGTTGCACTAAACAAAAAGATTTTACTTTAGAGCTTGTTAGTGCCGCACTCAAAGCTAATTTATGGTATTTTAATGGTGGAATAGGCAGATCAAATTGGACTTTGTTTAAATAGATCAAATCTACGTTTAAAAATTAAAAGTAGTTTGATCAGATCTTTTTCAAGATATGGTCCGATCCTTTAATTCCGTCCGAACTTATTTTCATAAATTTTCTTTTAGATTCAAAGTTATAAATTTGATGAATAAGTAGAACTCATGAAAACTAGTAACAAGAATAAATATTTGAATGGTGTGGTCAAATAATAATTTCCATTGAGTTACCTTTGATGATATCTCTGTAGAAATCAAGGGATTCTATAAGTTCAGCTGAAGTCTTTCCCTTCCACTTAGGAATGAGTGATGCTACAGCTTTCTCTTCCAAATAAACTCCTATTCCAGTGAACTTCACAAATTCTCCATCAATGTCTAAACCTCGAACCCCTACAATACAATACTCTTGTATCAGTTAATATTAATATAATAATAAAATGATCCAAATAATATAATGAAAAAAACCTGCGCCGCCGAGGAAATAAGACTTGGTGGTGGCCGGAGAAGTCAACACTGCCGGGAATTCAACGAGCTCCACCGTCACTCCAGTCACCATAGCTACTACACCTTTGTTCTACCGGTGGTTTTTTCAAGTGTCTAGTTTTAACTTTGAGATTTCATACTGAATAAGAGTGTTTATATAGAAAAATTATGTGAGATAAAATATTTACATCAGCACGAAAAATATGCAAAGTATATACTTTCTCAATTTTTTATTAGATAACGATTCGATAAAAGAATCATATTAGTTAAATAGTCTTTTTCTATTCATAATTATTTCAATAGAAAATTTTAGAATATCAATTTGTGGTACTATTTTTTTTAGGGATAATTTAAAAATATTGAAGGGGTTTATGATTGAAGTTGACGCCTTGTTTTAAATTGAATTTAATGAAATTGTGTTTCCTATAAAATATGTTAATAAGAAGAATTGAAGAAAGATTTGTCTTGAATAGACTTATACAAATCATTAGTGTATTCTCTAATGTAAATATTGTTTTTAATATATTTTAACCAAAGGAAAAAATTTATTACGCATTATATGCACCTTTAAATTTAAGATATTTGACATTTTTAAAAATGAAATGTATGTATAAATATGTAGTGTCCTATTCGTGAGAGTTTTAAATAAGGGTGACGTTAGAATTCTTGTTTAGTGAGACATCACATAGGTGCTATCTCTAGAATCATAGAGTCTCGTCAAAAGTGCCCTCTCAGACGTAGGTGTGGTTTTACTAAATTGTGTTATCAATTTCTTTTGTTATTGTTTTCTGCATTGTGTTATTATTGTTGTTATATTGTTGTCTTACTGGTTTAACAAGTTGAATCAGTTGTTCCAACATCGTGTCTAACATCTGTCCCCTAAAAAATAGAATTTCAATTGGCATCGGAGTGGGTACCTGTTTACTGTGAAATTTGATAAACAAATACAAGTTCTTATTAATACTTAAGGGATCAAACTCAAAAATCTCTCGGACATGTTTGTGTGTGCATTACTCGTGAAAATCCTGGGGATTGTCGAAGTTAACATAAACTTTTGGACAAGTGTCTGAAAATGTTTGTGATTTCTTAAAAATAATAATGCAAGGTAAAATGAACAATTTGAAGTTAAAACAGAGACTTGAAACTAAAGTGCAAGGAAACGTAAAGCTGTGTGAAAAGTAAAGGAAGTCGTAGAAGCTTAAATGCATAAAAGAAAGACTTAAGATAAAATTGCTGAAATTGTATAAAACTGTGGAACGCATACGTACATCTTCCTTCACTCGTTTCTCACAGCGCAAGTACTTTGATTGTTTCAGAAACATGTACAATTTGCAGACCCTTTACAAATGAGCCTAAGTACCTATATATACAATACTAAGATAATTTCCTAAACATGATAAACTACTCCCATGGTGACACGTCCTCAGATCGTTTAGCAGTTCTCTCCGATGTATCCCACGTTCTCTATGTAACCTTCGACGTTGATATAGTAGTTCCCGCCTTGTGGTATTATTTGAACTTCTCAACTGCTTTTTTGGCACCAAGAACTAAATATCCCCGTTGAAGCCACCGACGTTGACCACATTAATGTAACATGCTTCGTCGTATTTCCCATTGTAGTGATGTACCCCACATGTAACTTAACACCCAAATCAACATAGTTTTCATTATAGTGATGTACTCCACATGTGGTGACTGAGTTGTCATTACTTCCATTGTAATGATGAACTCCAACCTTAGCCAACATGGCATAATATTCAATTGTAATGATGGACTCCAACCTTAGCCAACATGGCATAATATTCAATTGTAATGATGGACTCCAACCTTAGCCAACATGGCATAATAGTCAATTTCACTAAGTGGTTAACATAACATAGTACTCAATTTCACTAAGTCTCTATGCTTCTCACTGTGCCCTTCGACTACGCCACCTTCGACCGGTATCCCCTTACGTGATTCTCGACCTCAAGTCATTCTGATCATGTTTGACCCATTGTATTTTATTTTCCACGTGGCACATTCATGGCTGGTCTCATTAAATACTTGTCATTTTAGTTAAGTTGAAAAATTAAGTGTAACAGTACCCTGTTCTATTTGGGTGAGCTCTAGAGAGATATTTTATTTTCTTATGGACAACACAAAGAATGGAGGATCTTTCGACATACAACCTATTTTGGATGGCACCAATTATGACTATTGGAAAATAAAATGACTGTCTTTCTCAAATCCATAGACAACAAAACTTGGAAGGTTGTGATTAAGGGGTGGAAACATCTTGTGATTACTTTTCAAGATGGTACGACAAATTTGAAGCCTGAAGCTGAATGGAATGATGCATAAGATAATGAAGCCCTTGGAAACTCCAAGACTTTGAATGCTATTTTCAATGGTGTTGACAAGAACATGTTTAGGTTGATCAACACATGTATTGAAGTCAAATATGCTTGGTATATTCTCAAAACTACCCATGAAGGCACATCCAAGGTTAGGGTATCAAGGATGCATCTCCTCACTACAAAGTTTGAGAATATAAGAATGGATGAAGATGAAACTATATTTGATTTCAACATCAGATTTAGAGACATTGCCAAAAATTCATTTGCCTTGAGAGAGAAGATGTCAAAAGAGAAGTTGGTCAGAAAAATCCTCAAATCTTTGCCTAAGAAGTTTGACATGAAGGTGATAGCTATTGAAGAAGCTCAAGATTTAGGCACATTGAATTTTGATGAACTCGTTGACTCTCTTCAAACTTTTGAAATTGCTATAAATGGAAGATAAAAAAAAGAACAAAAATATAACTTTTATGTCCAACACTTAAGAGGATGAAGATCAAGGTGGAAAAAGTTTTTCAGAGGCTATATCACCTGTTAGAAAGCTTAAAAACTCTTTAAAATAACTTGACAGAAGGTGGGGGACAAATGTCCCAGACAAGGTGTCAGACATCAGTCCCTTGAACATAGGCAAATGGGTTCAATATCATGAATATGAAGGGTTTAGTCACATTAAAGCTGAATGTACTACTTTTCTAAAGAAACATAAAAAGGGATTGTCCACCACTTAGACTGATTTTGATGATGAAAGTGAAAGAGAAATAACTAATAAAGTGGTAGGTTTTACTAGGAAATATGACTATTGTAGTGAGTCAAGTGATGAAGAGATGTCAAAAGAAGAACTTGCTAAAACATATAGATAGTTGCTCACTGAATAGAAGGAATCTTGCTTGAAAAAAGTGAAACAAAAGGAGACCATAAGCGTATGCTCCTTGAAAAAGAGAAGACTGGTTCAACCATTTTAGTTCTAGAAGAGGAAGTCACATTTTAAATTCCAAACTTAACAACATGACAAAATAATTTCGTATTTTGAACGATGGTTCTGATATGTTAGATGAAATCTTGGAGGTTAGTGATAAGAAGGCTATAAGGTTTGACTATAGTTCCATGAACAAAAAGTTCAAATTCCCCACTAAGAAGTTTGTTACTCCTGAAAAGAAAATAGATTTTCTGATGAAGGACCACATGTTCCAGCATCCCGGTCAACATGTTTCCTCTCACAACAAAGGCAAGAAGAAATCATTTTGGAGGTGTCACCACTATGGAAGATAAGGTCATATAAGACTCACCCCATACCATGTGAAAAAACCTTAAATAAGCCTTAAAACATTTTACCTTGAGGGACTATGTAATTTTATATTTGTGAGAGTCCCAAATAAGGGTGACGCCGAAGCCATCTCCTAGTGAGGCATCGCCTAGGAGTTGCCTCTACGTAGCATGGGGTCTCACCTTTAGAGTATATGATACGTATAACACCGTTATCTCCATACTAACCATACAAGAGGGAGTCAAACCATAACTCCCTGGAAAATAGGTGGTCAGCAGTCTCCTCCAAACAAGAGGGAATGACTACCACTTCTAAAGGTTTCCTAAACCGTATGACCATGAACCTCAATAAATATCTGACCCTTTAAGGGTAGAATACATATCATGACTTAACCATGTATTACATAAGAGATATAGCTTATCACTTCACATGATCTGACCTCCCATACCACCATAAACACTATAAAACCACCATACAAGGCTTCTCGCCTTCGCAGGCAAGCCCTAACTATTGTAAATCTACTAAGACCTCTGAGTATCCCTTACCCTTGTAGGGATACCATACACACATATATTTTTTAACCAGTACAAGATATATTAACTAATGCAAACATTTTTTGTTGATTCACTTCCTATTTGTGTTTTTGAAAGTTTTTTGATAAGATAGGTTGGACATGTCCAACTATTGTTTTTATTATCTTTTTGATAGGTTAGGGTTTGATAGAATTAAAGTTTTGATAGAACCTTTTGTAGGTTCCATATTTAATCAATGTAGGATTTGAGTTTTTTCAATACACTCACTCATATCCAACACTATTTAGTTTGGTGCGTGGATATAAACGATGAGTGGTCGGAATTATCGATATGCAGGACTTGGTTTTTCCAATACACCCCATTGTGTATAAATGATGGGTGACCCGAATCGTTAGACTGGTGATACTATTTTAGAGTTTGATCTAATTCATTATTACAAACCCGTCTTATAAGGTGGGAGATGCTACTCTATATAAACCATTTGTGCATTCTATCTTTTTAATAATGTGGAATTTGACATTTTCCAATAGATTTTATGTCTCATTATCTTTTTTTTAATCAATAAAACATCTTTATTATAAAAAACCATTTATTAAATTATAAATATTTTAAAATAATAATAAATAAATTATATTAGTTTTCTATTATACTTTTATATAATTATTCTTCTTTCCTTTTATATTTTTTTATGATTTTTCTTCTCATATTATTAATAAAAAGAAATTTTTAAAATTTTAAAATTTTTCTATTTTTAATTAATCAACCTTATAAATTTTAACATTCATAAAAATCTCAAAATGATTTATAATAAAAAAACAAATTGATATACTGACTAATCTTAAAATAATAATGAGAGATGAGTGATCAAAAACTTATTAGAAGGTTGAATAAACTAACCTGGAGTCAATATTTTGGGCCTGCATGATGAGAGTTTGACTTC